AAGTTTCCACTTTTTATTTGTTTGTATGTGTGTGTGGTTGGGTGGGTGAGTGCGAGTGTCTTGCTCGGGATTATCTTGTGATTAAAATAGTTTTCTCGGAGCTATTTTATGCCATCTCACGGTTTCATTATGTTGTTTGAGCGATGCGCCCACAATCGCGCGCTTGCGCTCACTGCTGTCTTTTGTCTGCCAAAAATCATTTATTCATGATTTTCAATGCGATGCATTTGTCGTAATGTGTCTGGTAATCAAATATAACGCGATCAGATATTGTTTTTTTTTCTTTATCCCTTTTCACTCGCATCTATTCTTCAACGTTCTATGCATATTGTCGAGGTGATGACTGATGGCTTTCGCAAGATGAATTGATTGAAAAACGGATCAAAATCATGATGATGAATATTTATTGGGATTCCTCATTTTTTTTTTCTCTACCCCATTCAAACACATGGAATTCCAATTTTGATGGGATTTTTTTTTTGGTGGACGAGAAAGAAAACAAGACCGCAGAGCTTCGCTTCGCTCCGCTCTGCGTTCTTGAGTTTTTAGTTACTTAATCTATTTTGTTGTTTCACAACAAACTATTTTTTGGCGCACTACATGAAATTTATTTCATCAAAGTAACTTTGAAGTAATATATTTATTTGCAAAATGAATTACAAGATCTTGGTTTCATTTCTTTTTTGAAATACACTGCCTTTGGTTTAAATTAAATAAATAATATGAGCATAGAATCTAAAATCACTTTAATTCTGTTCAAGACACAGAAAATATTATACGAAAAATTAATGTAATTTTTAAACAACATTTGATAATAAAAATTTGATTGGCGCTTTGAGATATTATGCACTTATTTGTCGTTAGTGCACCTGTTTTAAATTAAATAAAAAATATGAGCATAAAATTCAAATTCACCATAGTTTGTTTCATCACTCAAAAAGTATTAAGAAAAAAAAATAAGCAGATTAGTAGCTCTACATTTCATGTAGTGCTAAAAGTGCACATCCAGTATAGAGAGCGAGAGAGAAGGGGAGAAATTTAAATAATAAATATCAGCATGAGACTACAAATCATTTAAATACCGCAGCATATGACACAAATGGTGTGATAAACCCAACCGAGAGACAATACGCAACGAACCAACACCAATCTTGACCGAAACGAACGAGCGCAAAAAAATTTGAACAAGCACAAGCCGTACATCTGAACACACACGGGCGGACGCGCATATAAAAAGACATGAACGAAATTAATTTGCAACATAATAAATTTTTGAGCAGCATTTTTATGTGAATACATTTTCGGCCGATAAATCACAATCGACCGGAAAATGGTAGCGGAAAAGACACTGAAACTGATTTATGTATCGGCCAAATGAATGAGGCAACAACAGCCACAGAAAAAAAATATTTGTTGTAAATATGAAAATGTGTTATCCTGGTGTCACTGTCGGTTAGATAGTTCCAGTTGGACACGAGAAATTCGCGTGCGCTCGCGCGTCATCGTCCTCTTTGCTTGTGCCAATTCATTATTTCCGGGGATTTCATTCAATTGAATACGCATTTTTCGAATTCACTGCACTCAGAAATGCAACGACGCGCAAAAAACAAACAAACACGAATAATGTCAAAAAAGTCGGTCAAAAGAGTGAAATATTCATTCGTAACCCATAATCGGATCGGAACATCCGGCCAAATGCAAAAATAAAGATCTCTCTCTCTCTTTTTCGTTGTCTATTTGAGCCAACGGCAAAATTAAAAAACACTGATGCTGAACGCCAACAAACAAACAAAACTGATCCGAAAGCGGCAAAAAATCTAATTTAGATGTCACTAGCGAAAACATACGCATCGAGCACAACACACCCAGAAAAGTCGACAAAATTCGTAGCATTTTTTTTGTCGATTCGTTTTCATCTTTGTTTTTGTGATGCTGATACTGATCTGTTTTCCCAACGAAGCAAGCAATTTTCCAACAAGCGCTGTATTTTTTTTCTATATACTTCTAGTGCGTGTGTATGTGTTTCGCTTCATTTTGTGCTTTATTTTCCACGGTTAATGGCCAAATTGAAGTCGCACATATGAAAATAAACTGAGTATGACAGTACGATAGAGCCAGCCAAAGCAAATGTCGCAGCTTTACGCTTATATCGAAATATACTAGATCCAGTCTGGGCTGTGTGAGTGAGCTAGCGAGCGAAAACCGAGTGTTCTGTGTGGTAGAAAACGAAAAATAGTTCAGATGATGATGGCACCATATTGTCTGAAACGAAATTGACAAAGAGAATGGGAGAAACGAAGCACACGCGTCTCGAAATATACGCATCGCACCAACAGAAGAGCAGCCTCAACCATAATGACGATGGATGTTGGTTGGTGCGGCGGCAACGGGCAATGGCAGAGGCAACAGCATATGATAGTATAGCGTTTGTGCGCCGTTTTTCCCTTGTTTACTCTCTGAGCGATTGGTTGGGCACAGTCATGTGTGGTTGTGTGCGCGTTGAACTATTTTTCGGGGCACCAATTTCATTTCGCTCGCATACTTTCTATGCTCTTCTATTTTGCATTTTTGCTTTCGAAATCAGTACCGTGATAATGTCATTGTTTTTGTTCCATGCGAACAACACTCGATTTTGGGCAGCATTATCAATTCTTGTTGTTTGTCGCTAGCAGCAAATGCTTCTCTCTCTTTCTCTACTCCCAATCCGATCAACGATTCACTTTCTCGGTCATGCACTTTCACATGCCGCTGCTGCTGTGATGGAATGGTTTTTCTTCGCTCGACATTATTCAAGTAAACGACAAAATGAAACAAAAATAATATTGTAGTTTGTGTTTCATGTTTCGAATGATTGTTGTTCAACATCAACCACACACACGCAGACCATGCACAATCGGTGTTTGAAAATTCGACATGCTCGACACGAGTTAATAGGATGACGTTCAATGTTTTTCTCGTTACTTTGGTCATAGATTTTTCGTTGTGAACAGCATCAATTTGGATAGTTCTCAATTGGCCATTCGATTCGGTTGCTTTGAGTGGTGTCAGCTGTTGCCACTTCACTATAAAGTGTTTATTCACTAAACTGACGAGTTTCCGTGTGCCGAAAGTAAAATATAGAACTGTTTCGGGTATTGAGCAGATTTACTATCAAATGAATGGCTGCAATTGATTTGACACAACGTACTCGGATTTTTTCCCTCTCTATACAACGGTTACACTGAATGAAGCAAAAGGTCTGCAATTGAGTACAATTTATTTCTCGTCTGCAGCGCGCACGCATTTCAAATTCCACTGACTGTTCAATTGATGAACATGAATTGATATTGATTTTATTTTGTTTGGAATACTTTCATAGTTCTTTATGAATTGATATTGTTCCGATGCTAATATCCTTACCACCAGTTCTATGGATGATATTGAGAGTGGAGTATGTTTTTTCTTCGATTCATATTTTTAAAAAGGCGAGTATGTTTTCTGATGATTCTGTTGGCGTTAAAGTAGAGTATGTCGTAGTACCGTCTAGCCTCTGCGGTCTTCACGGTTTTCGCGCAACTGATAGGAGATAACAACATGGTGTCTTCGGCTAAGTTGTAGCACTCCAGGTCTTCTATAACATTGCTGAAGGCATCTATCTCTTATCTCTTGTCAGTTGCGCGCTATTCGCGCACATAAAAAAGCAAATTTTATATAGAACTTTTTTTTCTTATCATTTTTCGCGCTTTTCGCGGAACTGATAAGAGATAAGAGATAACTGACTTCAGCAATGTTATAGAAGACCTCGAGTGCTACAACTTTGCCGAAGACACCAAGTTGTTAACTCTTATCAGTTCCAGGAAAACCTCAAAAAACCGTAACGACCCGTCAAAAATGAACATACTCGCCTTTAACCATTTTTGAGTCGAAAGAAACTTACTTCTCTTTCATAACAAAGTCAGTGAAACATACACCACTCTTAATCTCACCTATACCTGCATTTTTTCGGATAAATCCATTTCTATGATTGAAATCGTTCGTTAATGACTTTTGCAATGATTGCGAATTCAAGCATGAAAATTTAGTAAATGTAATAATAAACTAGACAAAGAATAAACTATAAATTGTATACCAGCTTTGAACGAATGAGGTGGAATGATCATAAATGTGCCAGGTTCTGTTGGAACTTGTTGGATGAAAGGAATTAACATAAATGGACTTTTCTTGAAATATTACGGCCAATAGCTTCGAAAAGCACAACCCATTAAATGAATATGCTGTAATTTTCTGTTCGCAATCTGCTGACATTTCTCATTAAAGGTTTTCCATTGGGGTTTCCTGTTTACCAAAAAGTAGAATCGGGTTTTCTATTTAAAAGCTTTTGAAACCTTGATACTTGGTAGGAGTATGATTGCATTTTCTTTGGGAATAATAATTATTGAAAATGCTTGTCATTAGCAAATTATTAACGGTTTAATTTGTGTGCAAACACCGAGTGGTACACAGCTTTGATTTCATCATCGCAAGAGAGCGAAAGTGAGGAATAAAAAGGGCGTTTTCATTATCCGCATTATTTTAATCAGCTCAACGCCAAATCAAATACGTAAAAACGTTTCCGAATTAGCATAGTGCTTGAGAGATAAAGATGTTTTCATCGAAGATGAAATTGGAGATAAAAAAAGTGCTTGAATGCTAGATGGAACGTATTCGCTTGGTAATGAAATTTAAACGGATAAACTCAGCGCATTTTGCGTACTTTTTTACACTGTATTTAATTTTTTAAAGAAACTCACCATGAAAAAGCCGTTTCTTTCTCTCTTCTGTTTGCGATCGGGTATGTAAAAATGAATTGACAGAATGTGAATTAACGACCCATAAAATGGTGCGTTAATAATTTTCAATATGATTCCTTTCGAATTTAATGCCAAGCAACGCAAATTGGGTTCCGAATTCCCATTTTGCGCGTTCTTTTGTTCTCATTTGAATAACACGGTCTTCCTTTTCATTTTATTTTCAACTTTCAGGAGGATTTTATGTCATTGTGAAACCGGAAACAGCATTGCTGAGCACCCACATAAATCATAGTGAGTAGAAAAAAAATGAAATGGAAATTAAATTACCACGTTCACATTTCGATCGGCAACATGTCCTATTCAATTCCATAGAAATGGGCCCTAAGTCGTATGACTTTCCTTCTTTGTGTATCATCCAAAATGGCAACCTTAAGTACTTCATTCAAGAAACACAACCTATCACAACTGCTAATTTTCGCAACTCACTCGAGACGCAAAATCATTCAACGGAAAATATGAACAATGAGAAAATAACATGTCCCCATTCAAAAGCATTGAGCCAAACAATGAAAGGGACGACCGGGGACCAACTTTTTTCTTCTTTTGCTTATTCTTTTTCTTTTGATACACACAATGTTTTTCGGTGAAATTGCTAACAATTTTTCGGGTGTGTTTATCTCTCAAGTAACTTCAGGGTCGCTCTTGAAATTTGCCTTTTTAGTTGCGCTCTTTCTCACACTCGATCAAGACAAAAACAAAAACAAACACAGCAACTCAACTCAATAATATCAAAGTCAACGAGTGGCGTGTCCATCAGAAAAGATAGACAACAGGGAAATACACCGTTCGTTGTACTACATCAACATACATATTATGTAACTTCGCACAAAACAGCGATTATTGTTCCCATTGTTACATGATTTCACTTTGTATTGTTGTTCGGGGCCTGAGCAATAACGCGCACAATATTGTTCATTTTACTCTCTATCCACATCAGATGAGTTAACTTCTTTTTCGCTTTCGTGTTGCTCATTCAGTTCCCGAGTCTTGAAAAGTTGACCGTATTCAGTTTGAACACGGATCTAACAGTATCAGTGTTTGGACAAAGATAATTATCTAGATAAGATAAAAGATAATATAAGATAAGATAATATCGTTTATCTTATCTAGATTAATTTCAGAAAATCGTCAAAATATCTTATCTTTATCTTATTTTTTACACGTTATCTTATCTTTTTTGAAGATAAATTGAGATAATTCTAAAATTAATCAATTAAAAATTTCAAAGGGAGAGAAAAAATTTCCATTGGATAAAGAACGAAAATTTTTTTTTATCTGAAGATAATTGAAGATAATCTTATCTTTTTTATAAAAGATAAGATAAATATCTTACCTTTATCTAAGTAGATTAAAACACAAAAATTAGGTCTTATCTGGTTTTTATCTAGATAACATTCATTTATCTAAATTAAACACTGAACACTATTACGGAGATTGGTCGTAAAGTTGACTCGAATTTCAGGCCTTTTTTTCATATAAAACCATTAAATGCCAACTGTTAACGCTGAGCTAACTTGTCCAAATTTACTCCGTATTTTCCACCGCTTGTGTCATTTCACTTTGGACGCTTTCAAAAGCAGAGCAGAGCAGTCTGTTTGAACGTAAAATGCAAGGTGCTTGAATGAAAATGGTATGTTGAATTGAAATAACAATGAATACAAACCACTTGGCTTGAGTTGCATTTTATTCATGAAACACCCGCAAATCACAGAAATAGCCCGAAATGAAATTTAAGCTAAGAAAATCTGAAATCTTGGCTTTTGTATCTTGCCATTGATCACACACATTTGGTTGAGCCTTTCTTTGAGCTGTGCAATTTCGATGGTTTTTCTATATTCACTTTTATACGAAGGGGTGTTAAACTGTCTAGCGATGTGCAAGTCATTTCATTGGTCGGTAATTTGATGAGGCACGTGTGTGTGGTGTACATATGCCGACAACTATTCAACATGACCTTTTAACAGCTAGTGGAACTTTTGACGGGCATTCATGTCTCTTCGGTGTGAGTATTCAGCTTTGCTCAGCATCTTCTTCCTTTTCTCCGAAAAATGCCAAAAAAAAAAATGCCAGAACACAGCCGCTGTACAGTTTTTTTCGTGCATCAACTTGTTTTTCTCTCCTCAAATGACTTCACGCAGTTCTTTTTTACGGAGAAAACTTTTTCGCTTTGATATTTATTTTTAGATTAATGTCATCTTCCGTAACTGTTGTTGTAGCAAGAGCAAAATTACTTTCGTGTGCCAGTGAATGTGAGTGGGGAAAAGAAAAAAATCATTACATTTCGTTATGGGTTTCAAAGGAATTGACCGAGAAAGCGAGAGAAAAACGAATAAAAAAGATTATGTCATAATGTTCTCGTGAGTTGAGCGATAAGAACGCATTTAATTTGAAACAAACCGAAAACTAAATCGAAACAAAAGAGAAATGAAAGAGAAATTGTGATATTCGCTAGAAAATACTTTCGGAAAAAAGATCAGTGGAAATTTGGAATTTAAAGAATCTTTCGATGTTCAAAGCATTCTTAAGAAAATCGAAATCAATGTATGTCCGCGCGACGCAAGTCAAAACATCCTTGTACCATACGCATACAATACATCCTACGCACATTTCATGGCCGAAATTTTCGGAATCTTTAACCAACCAACACACAAAATCAAAATCTTCTTCGGCTCATTCAATGTTCAAACGGCAAGTTTTTCTCACTTCTTTATGCGTTGCAAGAAATTTGCATTTAAATGGAAATGAAATAAAGTTTGCATGTGTTTTTATCAAGTTGTTGTTTTGCATCGAAATGTCCCAAGTTTTCTGCTTGTGATGATTCAACACAGTTGATGTTGAAAAGTGAAACGCGACGACCAGGAGACAAAGGCTGAATGCGGATGAAAAACAAAAGAGAGATTGAGGAAAATGCTACCAAAAAATGGTTTGTTAAAAATATGGTTGGAACAATATGGTGAAGAATATTTTGTGGGTGTGTGCGTGTATTTTCAGAAATAATGCGGAAGAATTAAATGAAAACGAATATACAGTGAAGCATATTCTTGATAACACGGTGACGTTCTCATATATATACAGTATACACGCTTTCATTCAGCTTAGGTTATTATCGTAGTATTCCATGCGAATGTTTCGCCGCAAGTATTTTTATTATTCATGCAACGACTGTTGCGGAAAACAGTTTTCCTCTGCTAAATCGTTAATGTGTGCCAGAGTTTTAACAGCCATTTACCAGCTGAAATGGCCACGCTAAACGGCTGTTGAGAATGACACACACACAAAATTCGAATACCGATCGTTTCGTTGCAAAGCTAACCTCAAATATCCAGAAGTTATTACTGTTTTATTTACTCGTTATAATGAAATGGCTTCGTTACAAAACACAAACACAAACTACTGGTTTTAAAATGGAATGGCGGCCGTTGACAAGCCGACTCATACATTTCGAAGACGAGAAATCAGAACGAAAATGTTGTTGTCGGTCATGGTCAATCGAAACATTAACGCGTGGGAGTGCTTACAAACAACATATTTTGCATAAAAAACCGCACTGGGTTGGCTAGGGCCATGGCACAAGAGAAAACAACATGGTTGTTTTCTCTTGTGTACTAGAAAACATGTTGAATACAGAGAAAAGACGATAATATCTTTATCAATATTTGGTGAGATTGGTAGTTGCATATGATGAACGAAAAAAGCATAATCTAATATTGATGAGCATCGCTCATGCTGTTATCAGATATTCCAATGCAAAGGGATATTGCAACTTTTTTGACCAGAAAAAACGCCATCTTACGTCGTGCCCGTAAATTATTTTACTGTACATTTAGATGGTAGAGTTTGAACAAAAGTTTGACACTATGCATAAACTTGGAAAGAGCTTGATAAACTTGATGAAATACATATATTTTATGGTCGTTGCAATACCCCTATTTTCCAATGATACCTTTTTTAGCATCAGTTACAGTGGATATTCGATTTAAGCACCCCACCTCAATGTTGTACTATAACATTGTTGTGAGCCGCCCCACTCTACTCCATGCTCAATCTGAGTCTAAATTGTAACTCAGGTTCTATAAATAAAATTCTGCTTTCGACAAATTGGAATGGCAATGCGAGCGACATCGTTTTATTTGTCCATGTGTTCCTCTCTTAAAAACGGCATGTTGATGGTGAATAATTAATTTTCTACTAAGCATTTTCCCACAAAAGTTTATTCGTTGCATTCATATCAATTAATAAATGTGTAAATAAAATAAGTTGTATGCAGTTTTGCAAACGAAACGATGCTCCGGAGGCAATGCTTTTAATGGAATCGCCAACGCAAAAACGGCCAGAGTAAACTATAAACAAAACAGTTTCTTGCTGTGACTGAGGGTTTGTGTGTGTGTGTGTTTGTGTGTGCTTGACTCCACTAAGGCATATGCAAACGATGGTATGCTTGTTGTTTCTAGTTACAGGCTCAGCGTCTAGGTACACGTTTAATTATTGTTTGCACAGTGGATTACCATTAGAGTGGAAGTAAAAAGTTGAAATGCGAAAAGCATTCGTAAATTTTAAGAGCAATAAACAAAACAAATGTCGGAATCAAATAGGGAATGTGCAGACGCAAAGCGTTGAATCTCAAGCACAAGCACAAATGAACGCAGCCAAGATGTGGAAGGGCGTGAGCGACAGAAAAACGGTAACAAGTAACAACACCGGCATGCCATACTCTCACAGAGAATATATAACTACGTTTGGCTACTCAGCAAATGAGCGTCTTGAATCCGAGATTATTTTCAGTATTAATTCTCTTTAGATGGCAAAAAGGATTCTCTATTTGTTTTGTCAACGCTATGTTATATTCACTTTATTCATGTTTTTTTAGTGTTTATCGTGCTGTTTCTCTGTTGGCAAACATTTATCATTTCTGAGTGTCGCGTATCTCTTGAAGCGATCACATCTCTCTCTCCCACACTTTGTTTTATTATTCAGTCTCCGGCGTCATTTGCATCAGTTTATGCGATGCTAAAGTCGAAAGTTGATATTTAGCCCAATAAAGCAACAACAGGACATTTTTTGTGTTTGTTTTTATCGCTGTTTATGAGCGAACAAGCGACAGTGGGAGTGCTTGTCACTAGCGTTTCGATATTAAATCTAATATTGTAAAAGCATTCCGCACCACGACACAACAATTCGAAGCACAATGTGCTCGGTATGTGTGCTGTTGCTTAGTGAGGAAAAAGCATGAA